TTTGTCCTCACAGAGAAAAAATACAACTTTAACAAGACCCAGGTCAAATGACTGCAGAGGTAATGAGGAGACAAACTTGATAGAAAGAAGAAGATAGAAACAGTGTTGTGTCACTTTACTCCAAGCAATTAGGTCTTAAGAACTAATTCTTGTTCATTCATCAATCTTTTTATGAACTAAGTATTTTAGGATAGACAGGTGGCGATAGTAATCCAGCAATATAACACTGATAAATCAATCACCTGATGTTTCTAACTTATACCAGCTCCGTTACATTTGCTCTTTATTTTTCCGACACAAATTTTCGAGAAATCTACTCCTATTTATAAGTTTTACTTAAATAATCATCAAGCAGCAAAAATATGCATCTGGTGCTTTTCAGTCTAATAAGAACCATTAGATTTCTGTCAAGTCCTCTGTTTTAAAACTAAAAGTAGAAGGTAACAATTGACCATCAACTTCTAGACATCCCTATTTGTATTTTGTCTTCTTACGGTCATATTTGCAACAATTTTTTTACGTAGCTGTTGGGTTTATAATGCTGCAAAAGTCTCTGCAGATGGACCAGAATGTTTGGACAGACCCACAGTGAAAACTGGCAAACTGGTGCCCCTGATAAAACTATATGTGACAGGCAATGAATAAAAGATGAAATATTGAAAACAAACTCACCTCCTTTTAGATCCACTAAACTTCCTTTGAAGCTGCAAGCTTAACTTGGACAAAATACAAATGGAATGGAAGCTGTTAATCTGACTAGTAGTTTATTTTCTTTTTTCTAATTTTACATTTAAAGTCAACTTAACATTTTAATTATACATTTGTGTCCCAGTGTGCTACAGAGGATACACAGCACCTCATCTAAAAAAAACAACTGCTGGTGGTGGCGATGGGGGGGTTTGTGTGCCTCTACAGCAGTTTCAGACAACAAAGACCTCTTCTCCTTTTGTCTTCTTTAACAAAGAGGATTCAAACCAAAGGACAGACTATTACAGATTGCTTCCTCTTTTCCTCAACCACAGAGATTAATGACAGGGATAAGAAAGCTCACACACACGAGCAAACAGCTTCTATTCTCTATTGTCTCTGCTTCGGCTCATACATTAATGGCCCGTTGTTTCATGACTCACTTTTTGCTTCCAGATAATACTTTAAGGAGAGCTGACAAGATTTTGCATTGCCAACTGAAACATTAGTCATCTTTCACAGCTGCAGTTTTGCACTTGCTTTACACTCAGTGTTTTCCAGATGCACCCCCCCAAGCTCATTAGTCCAGGTTCTGGTTTGATCCAAAAAAAAAAAATGGCATGACGGCTTTAAAGGTTTTCTGAGTGGTTTTTAAATGTGAACCTCAGCCCTTTGAAGCCCATGACCTCAGAGTCCATGGGTCACAGCGTTTTTTTACCCCAGCACCACCACGTGCACACCCGACACCTTCTGGTATCCCCTGCTTCTACTGAGAGGCTTGGCTGCAGCACAACCAAAGAATACTGAAAAACAAGTCTTGGTCTAAGCCCAGGTCACACTCAAATCCAGAACAGATTGAACAGATGTCTTTACTTTTGTGTGACGTTCATAAATAAATAGAAAAAATAACAAACTGCTCATGCTAATTTTTCCACCTGCATTATGCTGAACCATTAACTTTTACAAGACAAAACTTACCAGCCTCTTTAACCCTGCAGTGCTAATACTTTTGATTCAATATGCTAATATATTTCATCCATCGCTTCCTGAAACCTTTTAATTAATCCAAAATTTGAAGCAGTAAGCAGATTATTCAGACATTCCTGCAGGGGCTTAAGCAGAGACCAACCTCTCCTTTTTCTGCTGTCTCTTTCTTAACAACATATTAACCTGCAAGACCATCATCAAAGAGGTGGGAAAAAACATTAGCAGTTTCTCTCAATTATAAGCCTCACAGAGAGGCATGAAATAAAACATAAGAAGTCCTCCAACTTTCATCATTTGTCCCTGTTTAGTTTTCCACTGCTCCTTACACTCTTTAATCAAAACAACAAAGAGGGAAAAAATCGAGATGGTAGAAAGAAATTGAGTTCTGTTTGAAAGAGGACAGGAAATGAGTTGAGAAGAGAGAGATGAAAGGTAAAGGAGGTTAGCTTGTGTTAAAAGGCTAAAAGAGCCAAACGCGTGTTTGTGTGTGTGTCTGTGCTGGGTGAATGGCAAAAAAAGGTCAAAAGTCTTGAAGGCAGGAAATTAGCCACACCTGAGGATTTAAGCTTAATGGTCCATGGAGCAGATACAGATGCAGTTTAAAGATGCAATTGAAAATTTTAACAGCGTTTTAGCCAGTGCAAGTATTAAACATAAAAACCCCCAAAAGGACTTTTTTTTTTTTATCTTTTTGCCATATTTGAAGATAGTTTATCAGAAAATGCAGAACCCAACCACACGCTCTGTGTGTTTTCATCCAAAGCAGGCCTTTGTCTGGTTTAATTTACCCAATTTTCATTTAGAGCCATCTCCATCCATTCGGCCGTCCATCTTCATATCATTTCACTCCCTCCCCCATCGTCTTTCTGTCTTCCAACCCCCTTGTCTTTCTTCAGCTACATGGTGGGGTGCTGCTCAGCCTTCATTCATTTCTGTCTGTCAACAAGCCAAATCCTTCTCCAACTGTCTGACAGGACAAAGGCTGCTCCAAAATTACAAACACTGACTAAAAGTCCCACACAAGCAACAGAACCTTTGTCAATCTTCTCTCTTTTGTAATTATCAAGAAATAATCTAAATGCATGAGCAGAGCAACACAAAGCTTTGCTCATCACAAAGGTTTAGAAGGGTAATATCTAAAATTTCCCTTCCAATAATGAACAGGAAAAAAAGTGGGAAATACATTAAAATCAAGAAAGATAATCAACATTTTCAAGTGCTATTGAGAAGGGTTTTCTCAATTTCTGCTCCTAATATAGTTTGAGGCTCTGAAACTGGTTCATATCAACCAAGTGTTGTATCAGACATCATGCTTTATGTTTGCCAATGCCATATTTCTTTGTACATGTGTAAACAGAAATTGGTAAATAGTTTAGAAGTTTGAAAGATTACAAAGGCTTTCTAGGCACCACACAATTATACATAAACTTTATATATACTTTGAGAACAAAGATGCCTGTATTCAGCATCAATAAATAACTGCATTGTCAATTATTGAACAGAAACACTGGAAACGCAACAAAACAGAAGATTAATCTCCAACTCCACAATTTGGAATAATTTGTATCAAATGGGTCTTGGGAGGTGAATCAATAAATACAGGTGCTGGTCATAAAATTAGAATATCATGAAAAAGTAGATTGATTTCAGTAATTCCATTTAAAAAGTGAAACTTGTATATTATATTCATACATTACATACAAACTCATATATTTCAGATGTTTATTTTGTTTAATTTTGATGATTACAAATGACAACAAATGAAAATCTCAAATTCATCATATCAGAAAATTAGAATATTGTGAAAAGGTTCAAAATTGATGGCCCCCGGTGCCACACTCTAATCAGCTAATTAACTCAAACCACCTGCAAAAGCCTTTAAATGGTCTTTCAGTCTAGTTCTATAGGCTACACAATCATGGGGAAGACTGCTGACTTGACAGTTGTCCAAAAGACGACCATCGACACCTTGCACAAGGAGGGCAAGACACAAAAGGTCATCGCTAAAGAGGCTGGCTGTTCACAGAGCTCAGTGTCCAAGCACATTAATAGAGAGGCGAAGGGAAGGAAAAGATGTGGTCGAAAAAAGTGTACAAGCAAGAGAGATAACCGCACCCTGGAGAGGATTGTGAAACAAAACCCCTTCAAAAATGTGGGGGAGATTCACAAAGAGTGGACTGCAGCTGGAGTGAGTGCTTCAAGAACCACCACACACAGACGTATGAAAGACATGGGTTTCTGCTGTCGCATTCCTTGTGTCAAGCCACTCTTGAACCACAGACAGCGTCAGAAGCGTCTTGCCTGGGCTAAAGAGAAACAGGACTGGACTGCTGGTGAGTGGTCCAAAGTCATGTTCTCTGATGAAAGTAAATTTTGCATTTCCTTTGGAAATTAAGGTCCCAGAGTCTGGAGGAAAAGAAGAGAGGCACTTCATCCACGTTGCTTGAAGTCCAGTGTAAAGTTTCCACAGTCAGTGATGGTTTGGGGTGCCATGTCATCTGCTGGTGTTGGTCCATTGTGTTTTCTGAGGTCCAGGGTCAACGCAGCCACATACCAGGAAGTTTTAGAGCACTTCATGCTTCCTGCAGCTGACCAACTTTTTGGAGATGCAGATTTCATTTTCCAACAGGACTTGGCACCTGCACACAGTGCCAAAGCTACCAGTACCTGGTTGAAGGACCATGGTATCCCTGTTCTTAATTGGCCAGCAAACTCTCCTGACCTTAACCCCATAGAAAATCTATGGGGTATTGTGAAGAAGAAGATGCAATACACCAGACCCAACAATTCAGAAGAGCTAAAAGCCACTATTAGAGCAACCTGGGCTATCATAACACCTGAGCAGTGCCACAGACTGATCGACTCCATGCCACGCCGCATTGCTGCAGTAATACAGGCCAAATGAGGCCCAACTAAATACTGAGTGCTGTACATGCTCATACTTTTCATGTTCATACTTTTCAGTTGGCCAACATTTCTATAAATCCTTTGTTTTTATTGGTCTTCAGTAATATTCTAATTTTCTGATATGATGAATTTGAGATTTTCATTTGTTGTCATTTGTAATCATCAAAATTAAACAAAATAAACATCTGAAATATATGAGTTTGTATGTAATGTATGAATATAATATACAAGTTTCACTTTTTAAATGGAATTACTGAAATCAATCTACTTTTTCATGATATTCTAATTTTATGACCAGCACCTGTAGATCAAAAGGTAAAGGAGCATACAACAATATGAAAATAAAGATAAGTAAAATATCAAAAGAATAGAGAGAGAAAGAGCAGGTGAGATGCCTTCATCAGATTTTCTTAACCCACCTATCAGCATCTCCCTGTCCTGACGAGGTATTCCGATGGAGCGTCTCTCGAACGGCAGCCATGCTGTCAGGCAGTCGGTTCAGGCGGCGAGTGTACAGACCCAAACCTCCATCAGTCATGTAGCTGAAAAACATCACAAAAGATTTTAGGCTCCAGCAGGTATATTTGAATAAAAATAAGTACAGAAAGAAGAGAAAAAAAGGGCAGCAGAACACTCTGTGTCAAACCAAAGATCACCACAATCTGGTCTCTCTCTGATAGATCCTTGTTTGTCATTTATTTCAAGATTTAGAGCTTACATCCATGTAGTTTTTAAGTTGGAGCAAAGTGCCCATCAAGCAGAACCAAAAGGCTCCAACACCAGCACTGGTGAAAGCAAACTAGAGGGCACAGATTTCTATCATGTGGTGAAAAGAAGAGGCTGTACAATAGACAGAGGAGGAGTCTGTTATTTGTTCCTTATAAAGTCATTAGAAAAAAGTTCAGTCCCTGCACTGCTTATTAAATTCTGATGAATAGAGGAAGTAGCAATAAATCATGGTACAAATATAGAGAATATCTATATATAAACAGCAGGTTAAATGGGCCTTTATTTCATTTCATAACAGAAAAGACATGGTTTATGGAGCAATGACGTAGGCAGACAGCTAAGACCTGAAAAGTGATGCCAAGAAACTGAACCCTTAGAAACATTCCCAGGAGAACAGATAAGGCGCTAAGTAAATCGCCAAATATTTACCTGCAGCGATCACTGATAGATCTAAACAATCTGAACAACGTTCAGACGGTGAATGCTTTCTGTGTTAGACTGGAAATTCTGTTCGGGAAGAAGCAGAGAAAAACAAACTGGCCAGTAAAACGCCTTCAGTGTCGAAAGCAAAATGAAACCCACAAATACAAAGTTGTGCCTGCATGCATTTACAGTATACACAAGGTACAGTGTATCTCACGGACAGTGCCCCTTTGTGTGAGCTAATGTGCTGCCAAACAGAATTAGTATTACTGTAGGTCTAACATAGTCAAAGTTGACAAAGCTGCTGAAAACCAGGCTTGCAAAAATGAAACTTTGCTACTTTTATGGGAGCAATGAATAAAAAGTATAAAGGATCATTATTTTATAATCAATAATAAAATTTTTTGCAGTAACAGTTACATTTTCGTTACACCAAGTTGATAAACTAGTTACTTGAGGGACCAGATCATGTTTAACCAATGACTAAAATGGTATTTAAGACAATAATAGTAAATAATTCTCAATAAAAAAAAAACTACATTTGTGTAAGCTTGCTGTGCTCATTAACACTGAAAACAATTAAAATACATTTTAGAAATCTTTACCAAGTCAAATCAAAACAAGGAGTCAACCTGCTAACATTATATAATGTCTAATCCAGAGAAGGAGCAAAATGTAAGTTTATCTAAGACTAGGGCTGTATGTTTCACGTCAGATATATCTATAGCAGCAAATGTTAAAGTAATACATGTATTACAGAAGATTTAATAACCTAAGCGAACCTAAATAATAAGGGGGTCCTATTCTGATATTAATATCAGATATCGGTCCAATATTGGCTAAAAAACTAATATCAGATTTCACTGGCTGGCATATAAAATCTCCAATACATTTTTAGGCCGAGTTTAAGTTTCCATAACTCATTGGTTAATATTACAGGGGCCAATTGTTCTTATACCTTTTGTTGTTGCCTATGGCTCTCTTGTGGTAATATCGCTTGATCAAGCCTTTTCTAACATTCTACAGTACAAAATAAGCAGTGAAATTATACATAATGCATGCTTATATTGTATCAGGTCAATACCTGCATTGGTTAATTCTCAAAGCTGCAATATCTATATTGTATCGGAAAGAAATAAGTTGTATTGGGAGATCCCTAAAAATAATTACTTTTAAATGTAGGAAGGTGCAGCTTTTCTGTGCATTTTTTCTAACCAACAGAGAGGAAGGTCAAAGTTGGAAATTGATTGATTGATTGCTTTATTCACTAGACTCCTGGTCCATAAAGAGCTGATACACAACACAAAGAATTTATACACAACAACATGACAAAAAAAAAAAAAACTTAAATTAAATGACAGAATAAGGGTCTAATTTCCATTTAGCACAAGAACATACTAGCAGCAGACACGACAGGGAACAGGTGTCCCAAATTCACACATTTTGACATTTATTTGCCTCATTAAAGCTTCTAAACCAATGAAGAGAAGTTTTGGTGGAAGACAGTTGAGTAGATGTCCGCTGCTTATAGCACAGTGCGACTTATATAGATGTGCCATTCCAGTTTTTCAAAAAATGTAGTGGCCGCAGCTTATAGTGCGGTGCGCTCTATAGTCCGGAGAATACGGTAATTTTCTTCACACCCCCTTCTCCAGCAGCAACATATCATATCTCTACAATGTATATATTATATATATATATATATACATATATGTATATATACATATATACACACATCTTTTTTTTTTGGGGGGGGGGGGGGGGGGGGGGAATACTGCATGGTCCTACTTCAACTGGAGTCTAGCAGTGTTGCAGTTGGTAAAAAGGTAGACTCATCTCAAAGCATTTTAAAGGAATAGTACACCCAAAACATGATTAGCCTTCATTTTCTACTCACCCTCATGCTTCACGACGCTACGGAAACCGCGGCAGACCAAACCAGATGAAAGTGCGCATTCAGCTCGGCAAAGAACTCATGCTCTTCCTCAACACTGAAGTCCTCAGACATTTTTCTTTCGTTGTTTCTTTCTTTGCACAGGTAAACAGCACATTTCTTCTTCTACGCTTGCATTATCGGCAGAGCAGACGCTGAATGCGCACTTTCATCTGGTTTGGTCTGCCGGTTTCCGTAGCGTCGTGAACGCGCAGGCTCGCGCTTTCAGGAAATCCTATACACTACTGTTTATGCTCTAAAAACATTCTAAATGACTTCGTTCCGAGTAAATTCTGGACGCTACCCACTCAGGACACTTGGAATACATTGGACGAGCAGTATGGAGGAATATTGACACGTTTTTTGTGGACTTTTATGGACCTTTCTGTCTCGGGCACCATATACCTCCATTATTTGAATGTCAGCAGACAGCAAGAAGCCTCCCAGATCTCCAGATGCATTTGAGATATCAAAAAAGTACTCCAGAGTGTTGTTCAGCATGGGGGTGAGTAGAAAATGAAGGCTAATCATGTTTTGGGTGTACTATTTCTTTAAGGTAGTACAACCCATTCATATTTACTAATGTGCAAGTCAGTTAGGAAAAAGATATAAATCAAATCCATTCGATTTAAATTAACCCAAACAAAATCTAGTTTTTAAGATTGTTCTTGTTCGAAAGGACAAAAAAGAAACACATTTACCCTCACCATGAACGGTAAATAATGACCCAGAATATATCTATTGAAATGAAAATCACAGCTTTACAGATAAGGTGATAAATATTGTATGTATAAAACAATTGATCAAATTTTTACTATACACAACAAAAAAAACTACTGAGTAAAAACAAGTGTAGTTAAAGCAACGACTCTTCACAGAGTCCAATCTGTGTGTGTGCGTGTGGGTGCAGCATCAATCATCGCTCCACAAAATCACCTTAGAGATGACCAGCCACAGAAGAAGCACATACCAACATGTTACTCTGTCACACTAATATGTAGCCCAGTTCTTTTCTTCTGGTCTCAGCTGCCTGTTAAAGTGTAACCTTCCACACCAGATGAAACATGTTGAACTAAAAAAACATGCCCCATTACAAACAGGATCTCGATCATTACTAAATTGTAAGGAATTCTTCCGGCATGAGATGCAAATTTGATAACAATTTCCTCAAAATCCTTTCACAAGTTAATAAATAAGACACAGCATGTGTCTGCAGCCTCTGGTGTTTGCTCTGCTCTCACCTTCTTCATTCACTCTGCTTTCTTGTTTGATCAGCAGATTGAGACTTTGAGTGAGGCATGGCTAGCCTTTCCAGTGTTTTTTTTATTTCCTCTGGTATAATACCTCTGTGCTTTTTTGAGCCAGCTGCTAAAGCTGACAATAGTCACTGCCGCCACTCTCTGGTTTAGTGGGAACTGCTTGTTTCACCAAATAATGTTAAAGAATCTGTAATGAATTTCATCAGACTCCGGTCATAACTTTTTAATTTAACCTGTGCACAACAAACTTGACTTAAAACATATCCTCCTTGGTGGAGGAAATAATTATATTTTATGGAGGGAAACTAAGTAGCCAGTTCAGTTTAGAGTAACAAACTTTAAATTAACGATATTGGAGAGATATTTCGCTCACCAATGATGGGTCCTACATGATACACACTTAATTCTGTTACAAAAAAAAGAGTTTTCTATGATCCATCTGAATCTCACACCTACCTGTCTGCCTTGAACATGTTAGTTGAAAGCAAAACAAACACGTCTAGGTGGTGAGGCTGATTAAAATCTTGAAAGCAACTTGTCCGTTTAACCGTCTGGGCCTCTTCTGTTATCAGGTCTGTGCCCAAATCAGAGATCTGCTGCAGTATGAAGAATTCAGCAGGAGCAAAAGTGTTTCATTGTTGCCATATCAGAAACCGGCCACCTTCCTATGAGCAGTGAAAGTACTGTTTTGTTCTTTGAGAGCTCAGTGTTAATATGAGGCAGCTCTGCTCTGTTCCACATGCTGTTTTCCCTTTTCTGATTGGAGGTTGGGTTAGTCTGTGGAAGGTGGAGGAGGGATGTGAGTGTGGATGCAGAAGGGAGGGAGGGGGGATGATAGATCAGACAATTTACTCCTGAAGCATTTCAGAGGGGGAGACGGGTTCCCTCTTCTCTGAGGGACAGAGAAACCAGGAACGGGGGATTTAAGTTATGGATGGAAGGAAACTAAAAGAGGAGCAATTAGAAATAGCAACACTTAGGCAGGACTTGGATTATAAGAGAGATTTCAGCTACTACATCCAAATCAGCATAAGAATTTCCTAAGAGGCGTATAATCTGTTGGGAGTTTAAAGGCCAAGTAAATCTTATTAAACTGTTTTAGCTTGAATCTGGTGGTGAAATGAGAGGAGCTGGATTTAACACTGAAGACCCATTCAATGAAAGATTAATTAGGATATTTCTGCACAGGGACGTTTGCAGAAAACTGGACCCGGGCGAATTCCGGAAAAAAACAAAAATAAAACATTTTCTGTGGATCTTACACATTTTCGAAACACTTAAAACTGAAAGAGGAGTTGCACAGCGGGTTTATGGGTGAGCTCCACAAGCCAGCTCATTTTCTGTGGGTAAACAACCTAGCTTCAGTGTGGAAGAACCAGTTAAGTATGTACTGGATGCTAACAAGCTTATGATACAAGGAACCGCAAAATGGCCTGAGGATGAAGAGTAAAGTGGGAGGTCATCAGTCTGTGTCTGTTTTAAATGGTTAACCTACAGGATGACTCCGCCCACATACCCACAGAATGTTCCTGCAGCGCTCTCTCACACGCACCCTTCCACCCCCCACAACAAAGAGCCCAATATAGTCAACACAGCACTGTTTAAATAAAAGCTTGTTTCCCTGTCATCCATCACTTCTTCCTAAAGGGTCGTTAAGCTCAGGCAGTTTAAACACTCAACCTGTACTGTATGATTAGGTTCACCAACAGAAAGTTAACTGACATGGATAAAACATCAATGGAAAGTCATTTGTCAACTAATAGACCAAACATCAACACGATCTAGAGTCTAAGAAAAGAGGATTTGTGGATTTACTTTGCTTTATGATGGCGCCAAGAGTAGAAACACAGAAACACTACTTCAGTGGTGTTTGAAATTAAAACCTCTTTATATAGCCCAAAAGATTTAGATAAAAGTCACAGATTATACATTTCTCAGACTTGAGTGCTTCAATGTTTTTGTGTAGATTTATAATCATTTTGTGTTTGCCTTGAAGAGTGTGGGTGTCCTTCTGGCTGCTCCTTAATCCAGGAGTTGCCACGGTGATCAGTTCACTTTGAAAGCAGCATCTCTTTTGTCTCATCTGCTTATTAGTCTTGAAAAAAAATGACCTAGTAGCATAATCTAAATGAGCTTAGGAAAAGGTTTTTAATAGGGACAGAGCAATTTGTGTGTACTGTAGCTGTAAAGAAAGTTTCATGGGACCCAAAAAGGTCAGACAGGTGCCAGGAGCTTATAAAAACTTAATTTACCTTTGCAGAACTTCCTCAGGAAAAACAAGGTAGGCAGAAAGGTCTGTGTGGTCTCTGGGTTTTTGGATACTCAAGTGCAGAAAAAACTGGCTAACAATTAAAACAAAAACATAATAGTCAAATACTTTGCAGGAAGTATCATAGGGAAGAACAGAAAGGTGGGGTTAGATTTTTATCCAGTAAAACCCCTTCATGGGTCAAAGACTTCATGGGAAACAAGACTACTAGAAAAATGAAAGGTGCATGCTACTATGAATCCCATATGATGGCAACAGTAAAGGATAATCTCTGTTCAATCATCCTTCAGGAGCAACTTGAACCAAATATACAAGAATAATTAATAACAAATAGTGATATTTCTTTGTTTTTTCTAAATAAAAATGAAGCACTGAGTCTCAAGGCATGTAACAACTAAAGCAATCACATTAAAATACTGAAAAGTTGGTTAAATTATCTGGAAACCCAATAAAAATCCTGTAATAGACCCTTTAAAGCATATAGATGCAAAAAATGAGAAAACATGGGGAAAACCTCTGAGTCGTAATTATAAGGCAGGAAAGAATCACAAATAGTAAGAATAATTTTCTCAAATATAATATCTAGCATACCAGGGTGAATATCAGACTTCCTTTTTTTTATGTAAAACTCTTTAAAACCTAAAATAAAACTACCAAACTCCTGTATATACACATGTCTCGAAAGCATTGGTCAGAAAATATATAAACGTGCAAAATACAAATAGACGTTCTGCCACAGACTCTTAATATCAAGTTTGGATTTTGGATTTCTGACAGATGTCTGCTTTAGCTACAGAAAACACTGAATAAACCCAGAGAGACTTCTCTACTCAGACCTCATACGATGATAAAGAATTGTGTCCACATTCTTTTTCATCTGAACTAAATGCTCCAGTATCTGTTCTACAGACTCACATCTATTTGGAACTGACTACTTGATGGCATCTAAAGGCAACTTGGCGCCCTTACGACTATCCGATAACAATGATGACAACAGAGCTTAGGTATCAGTGTAGGAGCCAAAGTATGCAAAGAGCAGGTTACAACAAGGAAAGGAAAACAAACTTTATCTATGTGTTACTATTAATCCATCTGAGGGAGGAGATGCTATGTGATTAATAGGGGATCCTAACTATGGTGGTAAGATGTTGCCACAAAAGAAAAGAACTCTACTGCCCTCTTCTGGAATGATCAATGAGTGTAAATGAAACATTTAAAATCCTGCATTTTATCCTGAGGCCCAAATTAGAGTTTTTTAATATTTAAGGGATCTTTTGTAGAATGAAAAAACTTCTGTTGCATCCTCTTACCCACTGGTGACGTCATCGGTGCGCACAACGTTCTTGCTCAGCACATCTCCATCACTCATGTATCCGGTGACCTCCACAGCGGTGCCTTCCAACTCGAGTTCCTCTCCAGTTCTGTCTGCGAGGTCCACGCTGCAGAGAGCTCCTCCCCTGCCGGCCAGCTGTCTGCGCAGGTGCCCAGGATACAGGTAGCGCCTTGCCTGCCCACTGCCGGCCACCCGGCCGCCGTAACCGTTTCCTACAGAAGGGGCGTCACCTGCCTGAAGACGTGGGCTGGACTGTCCAAGTCGCCATGGTGACAGCGAGGAGCGGGCAGAAGTAATGCTGAGGATGCTCCGACCACTGCTGTTGTTGCTGCAGGAACCACCTCCGCCGCTGCTGATGTCTGTGGTGACGCTGCCATCAAAGGTTGTTTCTAGAGTGCTGAAAAAAAAGAGGAATACAATATGAGTTTTAAATATCAGGAAAATAAACATGAATTATTGCTGTAACGGCACAGAGCAGGCAAGATGCAGAAACATTTTCTAGTTTGACAAAAATTGAAAAAGCTGTATCTTATCAGCAGGACCACATTGAGAAAGAGGCTGGAACTGTGATTCAGAAACTTCAATCAAGCTTTTCATCCATCAAGTAACAAAGATGATGTTTTTATTTATCTGAGAGAAAAAAAACTATTACTCTGATCAGTGACATGTTTATTACTTAAGTAAGAGAAGACAAAGGGCTGTAAGCATTTATGTAAAATAAAAAGGTACTTTCCATTCAAAACTGGATTGAACAAGTCAAAGCATTAGCAAAATCAGAGGGTGAAACTGCAAGAAAATCTCCAACTTTTAGATGAGCACATAGTCCAGCGCACCTGAATCAAGTAATTAGATGCTTAAGAGGACTGCATGTCAACAAGGTATTTCAGCCATTAATTAATGATTAAGGTGAGTTGGACCAAGGATTGGTCTAAAAGTTGCAGGATACCAGCCTTCAGGAACTGGAATGACCTACTCCTGGAATAGAGGAATATCTGCTGTAAATAAACATGCTCGACATTTCCTCAAAACTGCATAATCAATGCTTTGTTTGTTTTAAAAACTCAAACATGTAAGTATTTGTTGATCATTTGAAACACCTCAAATAGCAGAGTTCTCTACGTAACATTAAAACTTTTTTATTTACTTCATATTGACCCATTTTAAATTTAAAGAGAAGAGAAAAGTGAGAAATTGATTCTAACAAAACTAAGAAAAACAACCAAATAAAAACAAATCATATGCATATACCTATAGATCCATACATATAGTACATACAAAATATGCACATATATAATAGACACACATCAAGAAGTAAAATGGGCATATAAATTAATTTCCATACAGTATGTTTTCCCATACATCATAGTTTCATTTAGTATTAATCACTATGCAGTGTATACACAATAAATTTTATTTCATAGATTTCTCTTAATTCATTTTCAAAGCAAATGGAGGTGTTTCGTAATAAAAATTTATTTTCCAGCTCCATGCCATTGGTCCAATATCAGAGGGTCAGTTTCTAGTCAGAGCCTTTCTGCTACATCCCAAAAGAGTCTTAAGGAGGTTTTTGTCTTGGTAAAAGACTCCAGAGATCAAAGTCATTCAAATTAAACTTAATTTAAATTCTGTATAGATGAAAGAATAACTGTAATCAGTTTTATTTGATTGTTTCGTTGTACCTGTGAGTGACCTGTGTGCCCCGCAGGCTGGACATGGTCTCCTCCAAGTTCTGCCGTAAGTCTGCAATGTTTTTCACAGTACGCAGCCGTCTTGTCTCTGGGTCCTCACCTGAAGGAAACAAACAAAAAATCATCAACTAAATACCAATAAGATAGACTCTGAACTTAAACAGCGATAGTAAAAGAGATTGCCAACCTGAAAGGTCATCGATGGAGGTCTGGCTGGTCTTTGTGCAGCAGACGTCGCCCCCTCTTCCCACTGAATCGCTCTCTGAGTTCACCGTTCCATCGCCTTCTGTTTGGGTTCTGCGCAAAACAGTTTGTGCAAATGCTTAGTGTGAGGATATCATTGATTGTGAATTATTGTGCATTTAGTGGGAACCCCACATTTAGAAAATTGCCATGAAGGAGGGATAAACCTGATTAGAATTTAAATCTGCTGCATTTCCAGTCTTGTGACTGTGGTGAGAAGTGAATGCCTGCTAAGCCTCAGACGCCAGTAACATTTGTCTTTGAAGGATAAATCAATACAGCTCAGCCAATGCACTGCAGCCGGAGATGATGACGTTTGTATGCCTTGCTCATATGCTGCCTTTGGTCTTTGCCCAACTCCAGACTTTGTCCTTGTTAGCTAATGCACTCTCAGCTGAGAGTGAGACCCAGTTTAAAATCCCTCACTGCTGTAGAATTAACATCTGAATTTTACTGGTTGATCCACTTCAACTTTGTTTGATGCAACTATCTTTTTGCTTGATTTGATTTATTTTCAAAAAACATTTGCAGTATCTTTATAAAAGTTAGTATATGGGAGGCAAAGTTGAAATTAAACTAGCAGTAATTATATCTGGAAGGCAAATAACAGTAGAGGAACTTTCTCAGTTACACAGTAATTAAGTAATTAAGTAATTAATTCCTGTTAAAAAACAAAAACTGCAATGTATATCTCTGGTTTTAAATTTATTTTGCAGATAGTTGAAATGATAGACCAACATATAACACAGCAACATTAAACTAGTTTAAGTAAAGATAACAGAAAAAAATTGTCTCCATTATATACAAAACAAACATTTTAGACAACCCTTGAATGAAATTCCCAGCTCCTAATTTTAAATAATAACAAAATAATAAATTCTCTTTGGACTTTGTCTAATCTTATCAATCATTTGCAGTTCAATAACCTACAATCTATAGGTACAGTATAAGTTGGTTGACACATAAATAAATAGGTAGACATTTATTAATTTCAAATCTTTCTACTTTGAGTTTGTATGTTCTTCGATGCATGTGTGGGTTCTCTGCCAATAATCTGGCATTGTTCCCACTGTAAAAAATGAATAAATAAAATAGACCAAAAAAAATTGACTGTTAGATTAATGGGTTCTCTGTTTGTCTCTGCTGTGCCCTGTGATAAACCTGTGAGTTCCCTGCCTCTGATCAAATTACTGATGGAAAGCAGCGAAGGTCCAACGAGTCCAGCAGCAGATATAGACAATGGTTGTATGGATGTAAATACATATATATATATATATTTTTTTTTTTTTCATTGTTCAATAAATTGTATTCATTATGCATCTGCTTGACAGCAGGGTTTTTTCTTTGCTGGTCCAAATAAATGTATTATTCAGAATGTCAGAATAATCCAAGCTCTTACCTGTACATGAAAGGTGCAACAGTAGCCGTGTTTGGGTGGCTGTGCAGTTGTTGCGTCTGAGGTAGCTGCACGCTGACAGTGTTGCTGGCTGTGCTCTGTGTAGTTCCTAAACCCGCCACAGGGGCGGCGCTGGGCTTTCCTTCTGTGGAGGCCAAGCTGGAGGTAGAGCTGGAGTGCCTGCTGTCCCTGTCTCTCTCCAAGGGTCCGCGGTGCATGACGAGCCCACTTCCTCCTAACCGCATGCTCCTAGGTCTCTCCCCCGCCTCCTTCACTGAGGAAGCTTTACCCCCAGCTCCCTGGGCTTTGCCTCCTGGCTTTGGTATTCCGCTATGTGCTGGGGTGGAACTTTCTTTTTTGGCTACTTTTCCCCCCTTGGGAATGAAACTAGCAATTTTGGAAGTCTTTTTGTTTGACCCATCCACATCTGTAGGAACTGGTGCTGCTTCCTCCCTAGGCTCCTCCCCCCTTAGCTCTGTTCTATCTGGGGTGCGTTTCCCCAGGTCCTTCCCTTTATCTTTTTCCTTTCCTTTGTCCTTGTCCTTTTCAGGTCCTTTTACAGAACCCTTCTTGGCAGTCAAAGCTCTGCTAAAAGTGCGTTGGGCAATGCCCCTTAGAGCAATTTTGGGGCTGCTGGCAGTTGTGGAAATTGTGATGGGGGTTGTTGTCCCATTGCTGGTTCCATTCAATCCTGGTCGGAGGTTACCATCTTCCTCTTCTAGAGGGTCTGTGTTTGAGCCAGTTTCAGATCTCTCTACATGCATTGCTCCAGGCTGCCTAACTGGGGCAGCACTGTCTGATTGGGGCCCTGCTGTATTAGCAGAAGAAGCTTTAGATCCTCCTTTGCTGTTAAAGAGCTTAAGTTTCTCAAGCATCGACTTCTGAGCAGCAGCTTTGGGAGGAGGCTCAGCTGTTGCAACAGCCTTGGAGGATGTGTCCTTCTCTTGCTTATTGGACTGCATTGCAGATGCTGGGTTGCTAGTGGATGACAGAGATTGGGTGGTGGTGTGCTTTGAGCTCGTTGACTTGCTCCTCCAGGGCTTGCTGCTGCTGTTGGGTTGGGGAATGGCAGTGGAAGGGGAGGATGATGAAGAGGGAGGAACGAGGTGGGAGGCAGCAGATAGGGTGCTGGTGGAGGAGCCAACGGTCACCGCAGATGAAGGAGCATGCTCACTCATCACAGGAGGCTGTGAGGTCATGCCCTCCAGGGAATCTGCACCAAAGAATAAGACAACTTATCAAATGATGAAGAAGCTTTGGGAAAAAGCAGATGATTAGTTTGTTTAACCCCACAGAAAATGACCTTTTAAGGCTCGGAGATATAAACTACCCCTTAGTTTATTTCAGGCAAGCCACCAACACTGTTAAAAACCCTTAGCACTAACAATAAGGGAGTCCATCACAAACTGTTTACAAGAACAGTGAGGAGCAAGTTAAGTGCTTTAAAGCCTTGCCAAGTAAGTCATGTCAGGGAGCAGTCCTGCTGCACTTATAAGGTTTGGACTTATATAGGCTGCCTTTGGTTAGATTACCTCAGGAAATATAATAAACATTAACTATTTACAAGAACTCAATCTTGTTTTTAAAAAGAAAAAAAGAATGATAACATAATTCAACAAGAAAACAAAACCAAATCCCTTCTTGCAATATCTCACTCTAGTAATATCCAGCATGCATTTAGACACTGGCTGTGTTAATCTAAGCTACAGTATGTGACTCAACAAGCAAACTCACCGAGAACTAGAGGAGGGAAAAAAGAAATCTGGTAAAATGTGTATCCCGTTTGAAAATAAGAGTATCCCAGTGCTTCTGGGGTTCACAGTGTGCATACAGATCACTGCTCCAGGCAACACCACTCCATCCAGTAACATTTGAATATTCAAACACCAACCGCCAGAGAGAGAGGGCCTGTGCAAGGAGGACTGGTTGGACTATATCATTACCCTGTAGTTGCAACAGACCCCCCTTTACTTTGCATGAGCACAAACACAGTACAGATACTCAGTCCAAGCCCTTTTTGCTTTATAGGATCTTGCATTTGTTTTCTTATCTGCATACAAACGGTTCATATTTTACATAGCCCTGGTTTAAAAAAATATTTACTGACTGGTATAAAACAAGGTATGTTAATGTAAATGATAATTTTTCAACAATTAATCTATGTATATTCAGTACTTGTTCAACAGTAAACAACAGGTACCCTCACTACTCTGCAAAAGTTTTCCAAATATATGAAACTGTGAGATCTCATATCCAAAGCCCTTCTGCTGAGCATATTCTTGAGTAGAATTAGAAGTTTTCTTTGATTGTTTCATAATTGAAAGTTTAACTTTATTTTATACAGTGACCTGACTGAACAAATGAACAACTTGTTAACCATTTTCATCAGATCCTCTCCTCATTCATATTTCCAGTTCTTTAAAGTCCTAATAGGAAATCCACTCTAACAAAGCAGCCTTCACTTCTCCTCTTTAGTATTTAATGTGAGAAGCATGAAACAAAGCAGCCATTAGGAAGTAATTAGGGCCCAATTAGATGCGCTAGCAGTTAGCTATCAACAAAGTGGGTCAGGTTTCTAATAGCCGGCTTCCTATTGGTGGTAGCTGAGTAAGAAGGGGACCGCATCAAGTGGAGTGGGAGAATAAGGGGGCACACAGTTCAGGTCTGGGGTGACTGATGCTTTGATGTGAGCCAGCAGGAAAGTCCATGCATTAACAGAACTGGGTCAGTTTGGACTTTGGGTCAGAAAGGAATAGAGAGACAAAGGGCATGGAAAGGCTTTTGGCTTGGAGTTTAAGTGACAAGAACGGGGATGCTCTAGTTAGGTTGATGTCAGGAAAAACAAATTAGTCTTAGAAAGTCTTGAGTCAAAAGCCACAGTAAAATATGCTGGATTTCTTTTTAGTTCTTATTTTAAAAAATCTACTTTATGGAAAACTCTTAGACTTCAGTGCTTTAGTGCTGTTAAACAAGTGAAATAATGAGGTGGCCATTGGGTGGAGTAACACAGTTTTTTGGCTCATATTTTAGATTTTCTTTTTTTCATAAAATACTTAAAATATAAGCTTTGTTCTGCTTTGTCACAGTTAATTATATAATTGTGACTGAAAGACTTTAACATTCTGTAAGTAGGTTTATCTAAATTGCATTTAATCATGGACAAACAGCTTTACTAATTAAAATTGCCAAAGTATTTACAGATGGAAGAGTCATTAGATAAAAGATTAAAACACAATTGTTTCCTGGAGCTTTCAAGTTATTTGTGTCATTCTTATAATTTCATAGGTGGTGTAATTAGGTTTTAAAAATGTACAGACTAATTAAAAAGATCTTTATTTTGTCATTGAATTTTACCAAGCATATATTTTGCCTTTATGCTTTCATTTTTCTGTAAAAATTACAAATTACCTGTCTACATACATGGCGCTTAGAAAAAAAACGTACCTTATTCTCAATAGCAAATGTCTCATTCTAATAAAAACTTTTTCCACAGACCCTCTAGAAGAAGATTTTCCACTTTTTTTTTTTTTTTTCTAGTTACCTGCAAAAATAGCGCAGAGAGAAGTAGTTTCCCTCTAAGACAAATAAATGATTTCCTAGCTGGTTTAGAGAACAGGTCACAAAACAACCCTGTGTAGCCTTAGGCCAAACCCTCAAATTACACTGGTCACATTTGTTCATTTTGCTGTTGAGCTGACTTATTTAGGAAACATGCTGAAAGAATTTAAGTGTTTGGCTTAACTGCTTAATTGCTGCGGTCATTAGAGACTAAAATGAAAAGCAGACCTTTTCTACCTCCTCTATGTCTGAACATCCTTTAAGTCTGGGTCAGTCCGGCTGCATTCTCTGCTCAGAACAATGTGATAATATACGATCCCCTCAACAAATCTCACATAATCAATCTTAAAGCTCTTTTCATGGCTTGCCACACATAAGTGTATTTGACTATGCATAGGTTTAAATCTATTCAAAGGAAAAAGCTGCAATTTCACAGTGTCAACACTCAAAATGTTCGTTGCTTACATGTCTGAACATGCCTGTCAGGTTAAACAGAAACTATTCAACTATATACATCTACAATATTTGTCTAAAGTGAAAGCATGACATTTGCAGAGCTGTGTGAGATGGAAAACAAACAGCAGATGCAATAAAGTTGGCATCCCCTGATATGCTCGATATGATTCAGAAAATAAGTCTGCCAGCCTCTCTCGTGATTGCACCAGTCACAAGATGTGAAGCAATCAGGAACGAAGCAACTAATTTACTTCCTAACTCTTGCAATCCCAAACACACACAACACGCATAAAGGGACAGGTGTTCAAAATTTAGATGCCCTTGTGCAAGCTTGTTCCATCAAATAATTACACTGGGCAGAACCTCATTGAAGATGGCTGTATGCAGGAAAAGCAAGTTTTGCTCTGATGGAATAGCATCCCCGATGGAGCGCCATCTCATCCATTATAAAAATCATCAATCCATATAGTTTATCCAAAATAAAACATCTGTCCTATCAACACACAGGGAGAGCTGGCGTGCTGCACAGCGAACGAGGAGAAATGAGAATTATTTATGATTATTATAATTTACTGACCCATTCATTGAAGCATCATTTTGAGGCTGCAGGTGTTTGCTCGATATCACGGTCTGATATCAGAAGGCATCCCTCTCGCTCCTCACTCATTGTGCTCCAAAAAGCGAGAGGGACAGCACGCTTTTGTGAGGAGCTTTTTTTTTGTTAGATTTTAAAGGTTCTCCACATGAATAAACCTAAACAGTGAAGCTTTAGCTCATCAGAAAGCTATTCATTCAGTAAAAGCAGTGGACATCCACACAGAAACATGCACGGACACACAGGTGCCCCCCCTCCTCTCTCTGCTTAGTGTAAATAAGAGAACACCCAGATTCTGTCAGCTCATATTAACACAGAGCAGAAGAGGACATTCAGAAGTGGCCCTGTACTGTGGCTCTGCCTGGTAGCATGACTTTATTCTGGTGTCACAGCCACTGACACAGAGCAGCTCTGGGCTCACAGCAACATCTGAACCAGCAGTAGCAAGGTTTAATAAATGCATTTACTGTAGAACTAAACTTTAGAAACTACCATTGAACATTTAACAAAAATGCACCTATACGAGTTGGCTGTTATCCAAAATAAGAAAACCTGACACAACTACAGCAAACCAGATCAACAATATTTCACACAAATGGTTCTGATTTGTTAAAGAGGCTTTCTGTCTCTACCAGGAGTTGGTTGAGAAGCTGAAAATGACAAACCTTGTAGGTGCTGCAGATATCAAGCAGGGAAGTAAAGCAAAAGGAGATGGACAGCATAGGAGGGAAGAGACCCAAACTGTGGCCAGGCATCCAGGAACAGAGGCCAGGAGGGAGGGGGAGTCAGGTCCAAAGACATGACAGGGGAGGAGTTTGGTTTGGAAACAGGGTTCTGTGGTTATGTTAATAAACACACAACCCTGCAAACTTAATCATACCTCTGAAAAATGTTTTACTTTTGCTGTGTCATTAAAAAAGCAGTTATGCACTTTATTAAAGTTCTACTTGTTAATCTAATAAAATAAAGCAATTGGAAGAGGACACACAGCTTTCATCAATTTTTGCAAACCAAAAACCTAAAAACTTTGCTGTATATTTTATATTCGGCTTCTCTCTGCTACCCTTACAAAAAAACAAAAAAAACCATCAGTATATGACACGAAAACACACCAGGTCAAGGATCCAGGTTCAGGGTTAAAATCTGCACAGACTAAACAAAACTACATAAACCTGGACTGTACGGAGGCAGAAAGTAATTTTGGAAGAAAGGATAAGAAGCTCCTCCTTCAGTTATCCAAAAAAAAAACAAACATTTTGCAGGTAATTGAGATCAGCTGCTTCATTCATACTTTACCCATCAGCTGACCGTTAACAACCACTCTCCCCTAGACAAGTGTTTACAAGAAGGCAGCCTTATTTACTGCTACTTTTATGAACAAAAGCTCCTTTTATTCAGCATTAATGCTGGAGTCTTTCAGCAAAATGCCATCAGGAGTGAACAAACACAGCTTCTTCTAATACACAGTAGACTTCGCATAAACAGGTTAAATATTTATAACAGGGCTGCAACTATTAACTAATCTGTTGTTTATTTTAACGATAAATCGATTAGTAATCAGAAAGCCAAACATTCTTTAAAGAAGATTTTTTTAACAAAATTAAACCAGGTGAAACTCAAATGTTTTCATTTTAGGAGTTCTGGATAGAGCATATTGATTGACCAAAACATTGCTTTTAATCTTAAATTCAAAATGTTTACATATTTTTTAACAATTTTGATATAAGTACTCCTCTAAGTGGGTCGCTCGGTCAGCTAAAGGCATGTTTTACAGTCTCTATACTCCAGTTAATTTAATAATCGATTACTAAATTAGTTGACGATTATTTCAATAATCGATAAATCATGGTTAATCTGATAAAGTGTTTTAGCCATCATTTAAAAACAACAATTCATGCAAAGTTTCTTACAGTGAATATACATTTTTAAAATGTTCTTTGGATCCCATTAATGCCTGATTCTGCTGAAACCTTTTAACTGATCTGGGTATAAGAAATAACAAATGCATGTGACTCCCAGTATACAGCGTTAAAAGCTCCCAAAGGAGGCTCCAATAGAGCCGCTCATCAAAGTAACTGGTAACAGTGCAGCTCACAGCGTCGGGCCCCGTTAATCTGGCACTGTTTAACACAATGACAACTGTCTGTTTCTCTGGGTGTTCAAAATTCCTGGTACAGAGGGTAATGAGTTCAGACTTTGAACACTAACAATGTCTATATAAAGGTTGGGTTCAATGAATGGTTGCAAAGGCTGCCTCATGCACAATTTTTACTAAATATACTGCCAAATACCAGGAACAGATTGGAAGAAAATTAAGATTGTAATGCAAATAAACAGCAGAGAAAAGTTTTAAGGGTTTAAATCACCCTTTCCTGTGTTGAAATAATTTCAGGGGAGCTACAGGGAATGAAGAGGTACATTAACGTGATTTGCACAAAACAGGACTGTCTGTTAACTGAACTTGCGTTTGATGTGGGTGGCTTTTCTTCCCTGGCTTAATAATGTGACTGGGATGAGTGCTGCTTTGAAAAACTAAGTAGTAAAATAAATACTGTAAGACGATTTTAGCAGACAGAATCACCGATCCCAATTTAAAGACCTCTACTTGTGCTCAGTCAGATAGAGCTAGGTGTGTTCCACTTTAAGAAAGGTCTCAGAGAATCCAAGTAGAGATTGAGGCAGTTTTCTAATCCTCTTCATTTGAACCGCATCTCACATGGTAAAAATAGTTTCTCAGGAGGACAATATTTCCACATTACCACCCTAATGGGGGATTTTCTCTACATGACCCCTTTAAATTGTTTTTATGTTTTGCTAAAAGATAGTAATGTTCATCTTTGCAACATGTTTTTTTTCTTTTTCTACAGTACATCACACATTCAGAGACACTTCTGTACAATGGGCTACAATCTAGGAAGAGTAACATGGCAGATCTTCACAAGCAGTTTAAATAAACTGTTCAGGCAGACAGAAGATGAAAGAATGAAACATAAATTTAATACATGTTAGATTTAAAACCAGCGGATGGCCTTTTCTGCCAAAACTTCAGTATTTGAAGTTATTTTCTCATGCATTTATTGCCGCTCTATGTAAAGAATGTCGGGCATACCTTTGTTCAGATGTAAACTTGCTTTGGCCTTGTCACTGCAGCCCTGGCTTCGCCTGTTCCCAGCAGCGCTGACCGAGCCTCTGGGAGGGATGTCACTGCCAGCAGTGGACATCCTTGCTGATGGGCCAGGAAGTCTGATGAACAGAGGAGCAGATCAGGATAAAACAAAGTCAAAAATGAAGGAGGAGGGGGTGGGGGTGGTAAATGGGAGAGATATTTTAGCTTTCATAAGGAAGTTAAAGGATACTTAGTGTGATTTAACACAAAAAGGCTGTTTAACATGTTACAGTTAATAGAAAGAACTGTTGGGAATGCCCTCCACACAAGAAAAGTAGAATGAACTGGGTCACTAAATTTGCCTTTAGTACTATAAAAAAACAACAAAAAAACAGATAAATCTACATAAATAAACACAATAAAGACAAGTGAGAAATGATTAAACAATTAAACCCCATGAGCTAAGTACATGATTTCGACTGTCAGGTTCTGATTTAGAGAACCTCTACCTACAAACTCTGATTGCACTGCTTCAGTTTCTCTTTGACTGATAATAATTAAATCCACACACTGCTAAGCATTGTGAATTTTACATTTTAATGTTTTATGTTTGCTAAGAATGAAAACCATAATTCTGAAAAAGTCTGGACTCTAAACGCAGCTCATCTTTTGTTTCTAGTTTTGTGTTGAACATTCAATCAAATCTAATGTATACCGATACGTCTGGTCGTGATGCGGCCTTCTGCCAGCTTCTGATTGTTTGCACGGCTCCTTTCATTCTTCCCATGGATAAGACTGATCAATGAAAGACTGGTCCCATGTTGTAAGTCTATCAGTCAGCTTTAGTGAAGTCTGAAAGTTAGGCTGTAATCTCACCTCCCTGTGGCTCATAACCTCTCAATGGAAAAGTATTTACTTGTGGAAAAACCATCTTCATCCTCAGTCTAAGACCCAAATGAGAGTGCTGGTAAGAGGGTTAGAGTTCTCAGCTATTGTGCCAGTTATAATAGCTCATTTTCAGCAAGGTGATGATTTTTACTGTTATTCAGCCAAGAACAGTGTCTTTAATCTCATGATATGGACAGAGGAAGTCTAAAATCATTTAGCATTCACTTTTGCCCTGACTCAGTCTAATGCCATTCCTCACTGGATTGGACAATATTTGTCTATTTATAAAAAATTTTGCAAAATGTACTTTTTGGACATTTGTGATTGAAATGTTACTGGGAAACGAAACTGTTAGAAAAATACAGTATTGCCAGCTGGACTCTTCCCAGTGTAGTTACAGAAGTTCACCAGATGATGGAGGCATTGCAGCACTTGGTAAGCTGCATGTGTCCACAGGAGGCAGAGACATATTCATATTCTTGAATGGCTGCATGCAAAATCACATCTTTCATTTAGGTTTGAGGAAGGTAATTACATTAGAGTGAAACGCATGCTGGAAAACTGGCATAATGTCAAATGAAGCAAAAAGAAAAGAACACAGGCAGGGTGTTTCACACATCACTTCAAATACACACTTCCTGCTATAGATTATGTGTTAATTATTAATGTCACATTATATGGAGAACGTTCTTGTCAAGGAAACCAAACCAACACACACTTACTAACTTAAGGGTTATCTAAAGGTCTTTTACAGCCCATTTAGCAGGTCTGCCAAATGAGGCGTGATGCCAGAAACAGTCAACATCCATCTGAAAGTGGAGCCTGGAGCTTCAGTTCCTATCTGCTGAGCACTATCACTCATGCATTATTGATCATGCTTGTAGCAGAGATTGCCCTTAATCACAGACAAATAAGCAACACCATCCTTCTCTGATTAGAGGCAATTTCTAGCTTTGCAATTCAAGGAAAAGGTTCGGTATAGGATTTGTGGTTGAGGAAACAAACAAAGGGGCAATAAATCAGAAGGGCAAGTGAAGCTGACCTAGAACTCTTTTTCTGACCAATGGAAAACTTGAGAAGTTTACTCTGACAAGCATCCCTAGAGGAGAAGAAAAGAGACAGGAGATATGGAAGGTACCGAGAGAAAAGTCAGGTCAAGAAATTGAAATGAAATGAAATGTGAGCAAGAAGACAGAAATGCCAAAACAATAGATTTCAATAGATGGAAGTTGAAGAAAGTGAAACAGATTTATCCACTTTGCCTCATGGTTAAACTGCATGGCTCTGGTCAGCAAGGCTCACCTGGACTGCATATCGGCCTGTGCTGCTTTCTGTGCTGTGAGGGCGGGAGTCCCATGCGGAGAGTGGCTGAGCTGTGCCGGAGCGCTGCTCTGCTGGCTCAGCAAAGAATGCGTGTTTTGGGTTTGTGCCGTTGGTGTGAAGCCGGGCTGGGAGTTTTGTCGGTGAGCCTGCTGTTGCTGCTGTTTGTAACGGGATAAGCTGAAGAACAGGCCAAGGATTGCCTTCAGATTCCCATTCTGGATCTCTGCGGGTTAGATAGAAAAAACAGTGAGATATAGGATATAGTTGTGTTGAGTCTTTATATTCGAGTTGTGGAATTAATTAAACCTCCTGGGGTCATGCATTATAGTCCTGTTTACCTTCTGCAGACAGACCCTGGATGTTGACTCCTTTAGCTGCCAGGAAACTCAGGCAAGCATCTATGTTCTCAATCTAGGGAGATAAAGACACAAGAGTAAGTCAAAGCAGAGTCCATATTTCCATCCTGATTTCCATGCGTAATATGAGGAACCTAGCTGTTTTTGCATGTATCAGAGAGAATTACCTGAACTAAAAAACAAACATGTCTTATTCAAAGAAGATGGTTTCCAGTCCAATTTACACAAGGCATTGGAAACATGGCCAGGGGTGTCATTTATAAAGCTTGTGATGCGTAAAAAAAACACACTTGACAGTCTGTCACACAAACTTTGGAAAAAGGGGGATGTTGATTTCTTTGGTAAAGTCTATTTCTGGTTGTTTAGCAAGCGTACACTTTTAGAATGGATCCTGCACAAAATTGTTTAAATAAGACCCCAGGTCACTGACAATTAAGAAGGCAAAAAGTGTGTTACTGTTGACTTGTTTTGGTTTATAAAAATGAATATCCAATCATGATATATATCCACTCTTTATTCATTCATTCATCCATACATCCGAGGTTAAGACACTGACGTAACTTGTCCAGCAGGGACACCAAAAACATTCTAAAGCTCTTGCAGGAGATATGCTGGTGAAGATTCTCAGTCATCCAGGTCATAGCCATTCCATAAAATAAAAAAATAAATAAAAAAACAATCCACTGGACTTGGTTTCCAAAGTTTGGAAACCAAGTCCAGTGGATTGTTTCATTGTTTCCTTTTTTAAACTTTTACGGAATGACTTGCAGGAGATGTGTTTCTAGACTGAAATGAACGGTGGTATCACAAAGACATGCAGATCAGATGGCCAAATCATCTATTTGTGCCTCAGTGTTCTGCTGAAGCTACAAAAAAAATCCACTTCCTGACCAAAAGGAAATTGAGTGGCTGCTCAGAGGTCTATTACTCACAGGTAATGGTGGGTTTTAAAAGGGGGTAATAGCAAGAAAAACGGGCCAAGTCTTGGTTCTGAGCTCTACAGGTGTGGGGTGGATAAGGGTGGGGGAAAAAATCAGACCTGTGCAGGACTGACAAGTCAATTCAACATGTTGGATTTTCCTGATCTCTAATATTAAGTGTCCGAAAGTTCCACCCAGTAGACCCCATCACCCTGAAGGAACCACAGCAGGATGGTCTCCCCATTAATCAAGGCCTCTCGGAAGGAGATTGGGACAGAAATTGGCACAATTATGTGGTAATTTACCCCCCTCTTTACTACACTAGTAACAGTTGGAGATCTGATTGTGTACTGATGGCTTAAATTAGGTCAGGCATGGAGCATTAAAACTCATTTTATTGCAAAGGTAAAGTAGGATTCCAATCAAACATACCTTGTCGACAGAACTAAACTGCAAAAAACCCAATTATCTACAGCAACCCAGTTACTATGACAGCAGCCGTGGCAACCTGAGCAGACTGCTGAGCTGTCATTGGACAACACTAGGATTTGATAGCCAGGCTGGCTTTGTTCAGGGCTCGGCTGACCCATTATGCCCAGAATCTTATGACTGGGGCACGCGATTCTAAATCAACCACATAAAAGTCATTAAGCAGAAAAGACCAAAGGTTGTGGCTGATGGGTGAACACAAAGGGCGAAGTATAAAATATTGCACAAACACTTCCCTCTAATGTCACATTTATAGCACAAGTCGACTATACCAACTCATATCAATGTTGACATTTCCCTCAGATGAGTGATACAACAGGCAAACTAGTAAAACAAATATACAGGATTAAAGAGAAAGGTTGCAATAGCCTAAATCTATTGAGGGTATAACCTGGAACATTGAATCCTAATTAATTCAAAAACTAAAACACAAATATGGCCTTGACTAACCCCACTGGGTGTGAACAAAAAGCAGTAGGGTACCATTCATCCAATAATTAAGGACACGATTACAGCTAATGTGCAGCAACTAAATATAGCTTGACCTACAGTTCCCGCCATGCTTTTCCTGTGGGGAAGCTTCCAGCTGAGAGGTGAGAAGCTGAAGCAAAAGGAGATTTCACATTTTTCAACATAGTTATTCCTGAAGAGTACAGCAAAATCATTTATAATTTTCATGCTCGAGCAAGGTATGTAACATTTTGAACCTGTTTGAAAACGCCGTTTATCAGATTTCTGATTAGCAGACATGTTGCCATGCTCCTTATAAAAATAAAATTCATTAGAGTCACATCTTCAACCTAAAAGGTTTAAATTTACTGCAACAACATAGAAGATAACGATTTTCTATAACTATACCCAACCAGCTGGACAATGGCAAATATAATTGACCAAATTATCAATGAGTTAATTCACTGCATATTTAAATACAAACCAAAAAGTTACAGTTTATTTCAACCATTCCCTTTCTAGGTGATTGGATATGAGGTGCCCCCAGGGACATAAATCAGAATTAACTTGCATATACACATATTAAATTACACTCTTCCATATAATATACTGAAAACCTCACACAAACACTAGTAAAAAGCTCTCACATAAACTAGTGAAAACATTTACCTCTTATATAATCTACTCAAAAGCTCTCATACAAAGTAGTGAGAACTGTTCATATAAACTGGTGAAAAGCTTTACCTTTCATACACACTACTAGAAAGCTTTCATATACACTATTAAAAAGCTCTCATATACACTACTAGAACGCTCTCATATACACTATTAGAAAGCTCTCATATACACTACTAGAAAGCTCTCATATACACTGCTAGAAAGCTCTCATATACACTATTAGAACGCTCTCATATACACTACTAGAACGCTCTCATATACACTATTAGAAAGCTCTCATATACACTACTAGAAAGCTCTCATATACACTATTAGAACGCTCTCATATACACTACTAGAACGCTCTCATATACACTATTAGAAAGCTCTCATATACACTGCTAGAACGCTCTCATATACACTACTAGAACGCTCTCATATACACTACTAGAAAGCTCTCATACACACTACTAGAAAGCTCTCATATACACTATTAGAACGCTCTCATATACACTACTAGAACGCTCTCATATACACTATTAGAAAGCTCTCATATACACTACTAGAACGCTCTCATATACACTACTAGAACGCTCTCATATACACTACTAGAAAGCTCTCATACACACTACTAGAACGCTCTCATACACACTATTAGAAAGCTAAAATATATGGTCCCCCTCCTTTAATTTAGGCAAACATTGCTCAAATATCACCGAATCCAGATGGTTTGTTGTTGATGAAGAGAGGAATAAACACAGTTTAAGATTTGCAGCTAAATTAATTTGTTTCCATATTATGGAACTGCTATCAGGCACTTCCCATCATCTTATATCAGTAATAAAAAATTATAAATACAAATTTGGTATTTGGTGACTTGACTTTTATTTCTGTCAGGCTGAAGTGAAAAAACTTGGAAAGAGACTGATTCTCTTGGCGTTTAAAATAACAACACAAAACAGCATAAGAAAACCGCATTTATTTTTTTTTATTTTACAATTTTGTAAACAACAGCGGCTGATTAAACTAAATGTCTCAACCTTGTATAATTTTACGACTTTTTTTTAACCAAGAAATGATCCGAAAGGCCTGGGAAATGATCAGATCCACTTATGTGGCTGCAATGCGCGGCGCGCTCCCGACACAGGTGGAACAGATTTTCACTGAATTTCGCACAACACCGGAAAAGGATCTGTTGAAGCAAAAACATAAAAAATAAAGTCGAGTAATGCCCATGCTTCTGTGAGTTGTTTAGCGGATAGCTGAGCATGAATCAATAATTTTATTTGATACAATTTCGGCCGGAGATAGCACAAAATGTACGGAGCTAGCCAGAATGACCTCCGTTTAAAACAACTTCCGGTGTAATGACGGTCCTTCCTGTTTCACTGAAACACCTTCCGTTTCAACTGAAATCCGCTAATAGCTTTTCAGTAGTATGTATGAAAACTTTCTGGTAGTGTATATGAGAGCGTTCTAGTAGTGTGTATGAGAGCTTTCTAGTAGCGTGTATGAGAGCGTTCTAGTAGTGTATATGAGAGCTTTCTAGTAGTGTGTATGAGAGCGTTCTAGTAGTGTGTATGAGAGCTTTCTAGTAGTGTGTATGAGAGCTTTCTAGTAGTGTGTATGAGAGCTTTCTAGTAGCGTGTATGAGAGCGTTCTAGTAGTGTATATGAGAGCTTTCTAATAGTGTATATGAGAGCGTTCTAATAGTGTATATGAGAGCGTTCTAATAGTGTATATGAGAGCGTTCTAGTAGCGTGTATGAGAGCGTTCTAGTAGTGTATATGAGAGCTTTCTAATAGTGTATATAAGAGCGTTCTAATAGTGTATATGAGAGCGTTCTAGTAGTGTATATGAGAGCGTTCTAATAGTGTATATGAGAGCGTTCTAGTAGTGTATATGAGAGCGTTCTAATAGTGTATATGAGAGCTTTCTAGTCGTGTATATGAGAGCTTTCTAATAGTGTATATGAGAGCTTTCTAGTAGTGTATATGAGAGCTTTCTAGCAGTGTATATGAGAGCTTTCTAGTAGTGTATATGAGAGCGTTCTAGTAGTGTATATGAGAGCTTTTTAATAGTGTATATGAAAGCTTTCTAGTAGTGTGTATGAAAGGTAAAGCTTTTCACCAGTTTATATGAGCAGTTCTCACTACTTTTAATAGTGTATATGAAAGCTTTCTAGTAGTGTGTATGAAAGGTAAAGCTTTTCACCAGTTTATATGAACAGTTCTCACTACTTTGTATGAGAGCTTTTGAGTAGATTATATAAGAGGTAAATGTTTTCACTAGTTTATGTGAGAGCTTTTTACTAGTGTTTGTGTGAGGTTTTCAGTATATTATATGGAAGAGTGTAATTTAATATGTGTATATGCAAGTTAATTCTGATTTATGTCCCTGGGGGCACCTCATAATTGGAAGGCTGAACACCTCAACTTTAATATGCTAATAGCTTGTAAATGCCATTAGTGTATTTACACACTAATAGCATTAAGTTGTTGGAATTAGTTGTTGTACTGGACAAGTAAAAAAGTTGGAA